AAACACCTGAACAACCAAAATTTCACACTGCCAATTACATTTGCAGTGTGCCAATTACAATTACACACGGCCAATGCCAAGAACACCTGAACAACCAACATTTCAGGAAACACCTGCAATTACATTTACACGGGGCATGATTGCACTTGAACCTAAAAAAAATATAAATCATAAGTTAGAATATTACTTTTTGATGATAATAAAACAAAACTACAAAAGTATATCACCAAACAAATAGAGTATTAAACTTACCACTCAAGTTGCAAGTTGCAACTATACATCAAACAATGCTAGTAGTGCTTCCATTATTTTCCATATCTAAAGATAATTCGACCAAATATGTCATACAAATAAACATGTATGATATATTATTTTGAACTAAAATACACACAAAATATTAAAGCTTACCAAGCTCGAGTTCCTCAAGATACTTCAAGTCTTCTTCAACACTAATAGGATTCTTCTCTTCTCTAAGCCAATCTTGAACACAAATAAGAGCTTGCACACATTTAGGAGTCAATGAACTCCTAAATGAATCAAGAATACCGCCACCGGTGCTAAACGCGCATTCCGACGCCACACTAGAAATTGGAATGGCCAGGACATCACGAGCCAACTCCGAAAGAATAGAAAATCTAGGAGCATGTGTTTTCCACCAACTTAAGATATCAAATTCTTCACTAAAAGGCTCTTGTTCTTCACTAATGTATTTATCCAACTCCGATTTAGCACCCCCACTTTCATTGTCTTCCTTTTGTTTCTTCAAGTGAAGCTTCTTCCTTATTAAAGATGCAGTTATAACACTCCCACTAGATGTATTAGATGTGTTGTTAGATGAAGTAGAACTAGATGGAGATTGAGACAAGATCCAGTTGAATACTTTTTTAGATACTCTCCGAACAAAGAATTCATATAAGCATACACCTCAGCATTTATTTTCTTCCCGTTTTCCTCCCCAAAAACTTCTTCAAGTGCTCCCTCAACATATTAAAATTTGTTACGTGGATCGAAGACGGAAGCAATAAAAATCATTTTATTCATCTTTTCAGGCTCACGCCAATACTTCTTGAACTTTTCTTGCATTCGCTCAGCCATTTTTCTCAAATGCTCATCCTCACTAACTAAACACATTTTCAAATGACAATAAAGTTCAGATACATCCTCAAAATAAGAATTACAAGTGACATAACGTGAACCTGAAATTTTTTTAGTTAGCTCGTGAAATCTTGCAAAAAACTCTATCACATTCCTCACATTCACCCAATCATCAAATTCATGAGGACCTGCACTACTACCATCTTCACAAAGATGAGAACATTGATAAGCAGAAAATCCATCATCAAAAAGATGAAACTTGTCAAAGGCCTTTTCAAAGTTTTGTGCCGTATCCAACATCAAATAGGTGGAATTCCACCTAGTAGGAACATCCAAACACAACATTTTGGTACATTCTACCTTTACATGTGCACAACACTGTTTAAACTTTAAGGTTCTTGCAGGCGAAGATCTCACATACCTCATAATATTTATAACACGTGTCACAGAAGCATCAAGTTCTTTCAAACCATCTTGCACAATTAGATTTAGTATATGAGCCATGCAACTCACATGAAGGTGTTTACCACTCATCATATTAGTTTTTCACATATCTAACTGTTTAGACAATTCTTTGACTGTGACATCATTTGAAGAAGCATTGTCCACGGTAATAGTGAAAACCTTGTCTAATTTCCATTCAAGCAAATAATCCCTAATAGCTTTAGCCATCTCTTAACCCTTATGACTAGTGATAGGGCAAAAATTTAGTATTCTTTTATGCAACTTCCAATCTCTATCAATGAAGTGGGCTGTCAAACACATATAATTTATTCTTTGTAATGAAGTCCATGTGTCTGATATGAGGCAAATTTTTGGTTGTGCTTCTCTAAAAGACCTTCTTAGATTTTCCTTCAATTCACCGTAAACTTCATAACAATCCCTTGTTATTGTTCGACGAGAAGGAAGACGAAATAGTGGTTGAGTTTTTCTCATAAACTTCATAAAGCCTTCATTTTCTACTGTAACGACCCGACCGGTCGTTTAGAGCTTTTGCACTTTGCTCGCCAGTTCTCAGGCATGACTTTCTCCGTGTGATGCATTATGACTTATGTAAACCGTTGGTTTTGGTTTTCAGGGTAATCGGAATGAATTTGGAAGAACAGTTCTCAGTTTGAAGCTTGAAATTTGAAAGGTTTGACCAAGATTTGACTTGTTTGTATATGATTTCCGATCGGAATTTTTATGATTTGGTTAGCTCCGTTAGGTGATTTTAGACTTGGGAGCGTGATCGGAATGCATTTTGGGAGTTCGTGGAAGGTTTAGGCTTGAATTGGCGAAATTGAGATTTTGGCGTTTTCCGATTGTTAGGTAAGATTTTGAAATAGAGGTCGAAATGGAATTCCGGAAGTTGCAGTAGTTCCGTTGTGTCATTTGGGATGTGTGTGCAAAATTTCAGGTTATTCGGACGTGATTTGGTTGGGTTTTTGATCAAAAGCGTATTTCGGAATATTTTTAGAAACATAGGCTTGAATCCGAGGTGTTTTGGGTGATTTGATGTTGTTTGAGGTGTTTTGATGATTGGAACAAGTTTGAATAAGGTTTTAGGATGTGTTAGTGCTTTTGGTTGAGGTCCCGGGGGCCTCGGGGTGATTTCGGGTGGTTAACTGAGAGGTTGGAAGGTTATTGCAGCTTCAGATTTGCTGCTTCTGGTGTTTTCACACCTGCGGTTTGGGGACCACAGGTGCGGTGTCGCATATGCGTAAGAAGAACCACAGAAGCGGTTTTGGAAGAATCGTCTGGAGCCGCAAATGCGGTGTGGGGTCGCATCTGCGAAGCCACAGATGCGGAAGGAAAACCGCAGATGCGAAGGGCTGGAATTTAAGTGATTTCTGCAGAAGCGGAATGTAGACCGCATAAGCGGTACCGCAGAAGCAGATAGAGGCACCGCAGATGCGGAAAGGCTTGGGCAAACCATATATGTTATTTCATTTCGCGATTTTGGGTTATTTCACCATTTTTGACTTCGGCTTGGGAGCTCTTGGATGATTTGGAGGGATGATTCAAGGGGAATCACTTTGAGGTAAGATTCTTGGACTAAAAACTCGATTACTATGTGAATTCCACCTAGTAAGTCATGAAAAATTAAGCCAAAAGGTGAAGAACTAGGGCTTGGAAATTTGGACTTTTGATTCGGAATTTGAAGGGGAAATTGAGGTCCGATTTTGATCTTCTTGGTATGTATAGACTCGTGTGAGGACGAGGTTTCAATTTATGTAACTTTTGTCGGATTCCAAGACGTGGATCCGGGGGCCGGGTTTGAGCAATTTCGGAATTTTGATGTTAAATTGGATATTTTCGAGTGGGCTTCGCTCCCTTAGCATGTTTTAATGATTATTTACTGATTGGGACTAGATTTGAAGCATCCGGAGGTCGATTCATGCGGGCAAGGCATCGCAGGCTAGAGTTTGGACCGGATTGAGGTGAGTAATGATTGTAAATGATGTTCTGAGTGTTTGAAACCCCGGATTGCACATCGTAGTGCTATATTGAGGTGAGGCACACGTTTGATGACGAGCGTGGGGTCGTGCATTATTGGGGACTGTGACTTGGTCCGTCCCGATTGATGATTTTATCGCGTATTTGATTGGAATCTATTTGTTATCATCATTATTTGGGCTGAATGCCATATTTGGGCTGAATGCCACCTATTTGAACCCTTCGGGGATCTTTGTTGATATTTCCTCACTGTTTTTGACTTTATACTTGAACTCAGTCATGTTATTTTCCACTGTTTTCAAAACTCAGCCATGTTCACCCAATTTTAATACTCAAATGATATTTAAATGATGTTTTGGGCTGAGAAACATTGTTTTACTGTTGCCCGAGAGGCATATGTGATTTTGACTGAGTAAGGCCGAGGGCCTGCATTGTGAGGATATCTTTTAGGTCGGGCTGCACGCCGCAACGGTGATACACTGATACTGATTTGAGGCCGAGGGCTTGAGATATGTACGCCACGAGGTGGCTTGATTGATATGAGGCCGAGAGCCTAGATTTGATGCCACGAGATGGTTTATTATTGCGCTTGGGCCGTAAGGGGCCCCTCCAGGAGTCTGCACACCCCCAGTGAGTGCGGGTACCCATTGTGATGTGAGATATAGCCCGAGGGGCTGGTATTGGTCTATGTGATTGCCCGAGGGGCTGGTATTGTTCTATGTGATTGCCCGACGGGCTGGTACTGATCTGAGATATTGCCCGAGGGGCTGATTTGTTGACATTGTGTCCGAGGGGCAAACCTTATGTGCTTATCTTTCTTATTTGCTTGTCATTTACCTGTTTAATTGTGTAATTATGCCCGAGGGGCGGATTTCTGTGCTTATCTGCACTAGTTGTTCTGCATTCATTTGCGTAACTGCTGAAAAAGTCTTTTTCAAAGAAGTTTAAACTGAGCTAAGATGTTTTAAGGGATTTTACATATTCATTGCTTTCTACTGGCTTTTGAAACTGCTTCTATAGAGCATGTTGATGCTCTTTTCGTGATTTCTTACCATTCAGACTTTAGTTATGATTATTACTCACTGAGTTGGCAGTACTCATTTTACTCCCTGCACCTTGTGTGCAGATTCAGCTATTTTCTAAGCTTGGTGGCAGTTGTCATTGGAGTTAGCAAAGTAGCTGCCTGGCGATCGCGGCTCTGCTTTCTCCCTCTTTATTCCTCCTTATGTATTATTGCGATTCTTCCGACCATTTCGGTCGTGATGTGACTAGACAATTGTAATAGATGCTCATGACTAGTGTCACCCCGGTATCGGGTTGTGTTTGGTTGTATTCCACGAATTGTTTTGAATTATCATCGTTATTTATGAGATTATATCATGTTTTAGACGTAATGCTTATTGGTTAATTGCTTCAAAACTGGATTGGAAATGTGTCGGCTGGCCTTGTATTCACGAGAGGCACCATCACAACCGGGTCTGGTTTAGGATCGTGACATCTACAAAGCTAAACGGTAGTTGATCAATAACTATCATCTCAATTAAGGCCCTCCTAACCACTTCTTGATCAAATTTCCAAAGTGATCCTTCATCATTTTGGCAAGATTGAAAATTTAACCTTGTTTGACTATTATCTTTATCAATGTTAAGTGGGTATTCTTTGCATCTAAGCAAATGATTCTTCAATCCTTTTGTTCCATTCCTAGATGAATTAGCAGCATAAGCTTGCTTACAATATCTAGACCTTGCTTTCCCAACCCCATTAACCTCAAATTTATCAAAATGGTTCCAAACATCAGACCTAGGTTGCATGGCGTTCCTTTTCATAGAATCTTGAGTATCCATGGTATTGGTGTTGCTATCTACTGTAATTGGTAAACTTTCACTTGAACCAGCATCACTTACTCTACTTTCATCTGCCATGTATACAAAATTAAACAAATATAAGTTTTAGCTTTCAAAATTTTCAATCAATTCACCAAGCTGCTTTTTAGTATAATTATCTAGTCAATCAAATAATGAATTGAATATATGCCATATTATCAACTAAGACTGACTGAACTCTGAAGGCAAAAGGACCTCAGAAGTATGAGCTCAGATCGAATATTGTATTTAGATGGTCTCCAAACTTCAAAGAGGAAGATGACTATAGAAAAACTGCAAATACTTTTCACAGCAAGAGTATCGTTTTCTCCATTATCACTAATTTTGGACTATAGGCATGGGTTTCTCTGTTTCTTTTACCAAGAATGTCATTTTAGGACTCTAACCAGCAGAAATTAAAATTAACCCCAGAAAACCAGATCAGATAGCATCTTTAAGGTTTAAATACTACCTTTTTCCTTGAAAGAATGAAAAAGAAAAAGAAAAAAAATTACACATGTATACATAAAACTAAAAATTACTCACGCATACATAAAACTAAAAATTACACACGCATACATGAACAGAAGAATCGAAATTTAGTATTTACACTAGAAAGTAGAAACATACCTTTGAAACTATCGCAAGTTCGCAACAGCAGCCGTCTTCGTTTGCCCGAAATTTGTGAGGAGTGAGGAGTGAGTACTACTGCCTAATGCTAATGGCGGAATGGCCTAATGCCCTAATCTTTAGAGTGGGCTTGGGCAGTTGGGCAGTTGGGCTGGGGCGATGGGAATTAAATTAAAAATATTTGGGCTTGGGCGCTGGGGCTGGGCAGTCAGTAGTGGGCAGTGAGATATAGGTCCAACTTTAAAAAATGTCTTTAAAAATTCGATAATTTGGTATTTCGGTATACCGAAATTTTAAAATTCTAATACCGAGGAGCGTACCGAAATACCGAAAAGACCGAAACCGAAATACTGAATTAATTCGGTCCGGTTCGGAATTCGGATTTTCGGATATTATGCCCACCACTAGATACCACTAAAAAATATTTTAGTAAAGATACCACTAAAAAAGAAAGGATGGATTGAATCTCTGAAGATTGCTTTTGAAGTGTTTTTCGGTTGAGAATCTTTTCTATAACTGGAAATACAATTTTCTGTGTTATAATTGAGTTTGTTGAGTTATATTAGGAGTCTATCACGTTAATTGATTCACTTATCGTTTTTAAACAGCTGAAGACCTTTTTTCCGCAAATTTCGTTACTGTATTCACGAATACAGCTAACGAATACAGTCGAATACATTCTCTGCTTAGCTGGACTCCCCTATTTTCTACCGAGTTTTGCTACTGTATTCATAAATACACTAGCAAAAATACATCGAATACAGTCTATAACAACTGAAAACATAGCTATACAAAGTAATTTAATAAATAGTAGCTATAACAAACTCGTAATCACTAAATCATAATGGTTTCTGAAAATTTCTGTAAAATAATTTTAAGAATCGTCACAGTCGCATCTGTCTATGCACGTTTACTTCATATTTCTTTCTCTGTTATTGGGAAGTATTTAGTTCTTCTGGCAATAGACACCTTAGACTAGAAGACCTATATGTTTCTCTAAATTAATAAATTAAATAAAAAAAAAAATATCTCGTACGAGCTGCTCCACCGAAATGTCGAAACAGAGCAATGGATTTACATATTTTCAGCTTTCTATTTGTCGATTCTTTCTTGAAATTTGAATTATTTGATAAAGCATCCGCGTGGACCCTCGAAATAATGTGCTGTGTCATATTATCGCCACCCATATGACTGGTCTGGAATATACTTGACTTATTTGGCACTAGTTTTTTTTTTTCTTTTTTCTTTTCTAGTTAATTAGATTTTTGCTGAGTCATGTTTTTTGGGAATTGATAAAGGTAAACCAATTCATTTTTGCAAGGTAATTGAATTGTTGGGTAGACGGAGTACATTGTGTTCTTTCGCTAACTTGTTTTGTTGGTCAGATGGAGTTGATCGTTTCAAAGCCAAACCAAATTGTTTCCAAGGTTAACTATTTGTTAAGTTGTATACGGTAGAAACGGGGCTACCCGATTTCGTCCTTTGATGAAAAACATAATATTACGTCGGAATGCTAGGATGTGGAGTTCGGGGTCTATGTTCCTTTCCAAAATCGAGGTCGATATCACTTACCGAGGTCAGAAGAGTGCGTACTTCGAGATGATACCGGTATAGTTCAGTAATGAAAAGAGCGAGATACCCGCAACGGACTGAAGATCATGGCATGAATTTCAGAATAGATTGACCCTCGACGGTTAATCAGTTGTCAAATATGATTTCCTACTATAATTAGAAGTGTACCTTATTTAGGACTCCCCTATTATATAAAGAGGGATCCATTCATTTGTAGGCATCATTGTTCACCGATAAGAAAATATACGCTCATTACATTCTTGCTATTTCACTTACTGTTCATCAGACTCGCTTTATCATTGGCTATTTCTGTTATCACACCTCGAGACTACCATAGGTCGAGGTCAAGATTTGGCTTACATACTGGTTTGATCTATTTTATCCTCTAATTTATCTATTTAATTCCTTGTTTATCAATTGGTATTGGATTAAATCACATATCCTTAAAACCACAATATAAGTTTAATTGTTACTCGAATTTTAGGGTAAACACTTTGGCGCCCACCGTGGGGCTAAGGATAATAATGATTGTTTCAGTGCTGATTCTGATAACACACGTTATTTCACACTTGTTCTTGTCAAGTATTTTTTCTCTCAGGTTAAAACATGTCATACTCACAAAACGCACCCGTACATGGTCATGATGGTCTCCTATTTCACGGGGAAAACAACAATGTAATTGCTCCAGGAGAGAGGGTACCACCGGATAACCTCGGGGGAGCACCGGTTGCCGATCCAATCGATAGCAGTTCACACGTTGCTCTAAATGCGGACCTAGCCGCGGACTCCGAAGGGAGTGTACGTAGGGAAGGCCGATCTGGGGGTCAAGGTACACAGGGTACAAGAGATGGAGGATTTACTCTGCAGGTGATATTCGAGATGCTACAGGCTCAGCAGGCCGCAATCGCTCAGTTACAAAATCAACATAGGACTCCAAGTGGGGTCGAGCCAAAAATCACTCGTCGTACAGAGCCAGTGCCAGAAAGGTCATATGGTAACGAATCAGGGATTGATCCTGCAATAATGAAAATGCTCAAGGAGCTCACCAAAAGAATTGAGTCAAGAGGGAAGAAAATAGAAGATAATGACAAAAAGTGAAAACATACAACTCCCGAGTTGATCAGATACCGGGGGCACCCCCGATCTTAAAGGGCTTGGATTCGAAAAAGTTCGTGCAGAAGCCATTTACTCAGAGTGCGGATCCGAAGCCCATTCCTAAGAAGTTCCATATGTCGGATATACCTAAATACAACGGGACCACCGATCCTAATGAACACATCACTTCGTACACGTGCAGAATAAAGGGAAATAACTTAGAAGATGATAAGATTGAGTCCGTTTTGATGAAATTTGGGGAAACTTTATCGATGGGAGCAATGATTTGTTATGACAACCTGCCACCAAATTTCATCGACTCATTTGTCATGTTAGCAGATTCTTTCGTGAAGACACATGCTGGGGCCATAAATGTCTCAACAAGAAAATCGGACCTTTACAAGATAAGACAAAGGGATAACGAAGTGCTGAGGGAGTACGTGTCCCGATTTCAAATGAAACACATGGAGTTTCCATTGGTTACGGATGATTGGGCCGTTCAAGCTTTCACTCAAAGGTTGAACGAACGGAGTTCAATAGCGTCATGTTAGTTGAAGCAAAATTTGGTCGAGTATCTAGCTGTTACTTGGGCAGATGTGCACAATCGATATCAATCGAAGATCAGGGTCGAGGACGACGAGTTAGGAGCCCCTTTCGGTTCAGTACATCCAAACAGGTCAGCATTAAAACCCCAAGGGACGTTCACAAGGAGCAAAGGTCGAACAGAGAACGATATCAACCATACACCGCATACTGAAGGAACAATGGTTCGGGATGAAATTCCGCCTGGAATGATCGAAGAAGTGATCGAGGAAAGAATTCTCAGGGACTTATGAGCAAAAGTTGTTTTGATAAGCATGTTGATCCCACAGAGGCACCTCGATTATTGAAATATAACTTTAGCATCGATGCGTTGGGCATAGTATCGGCAATCGAAAGGATCAAAGATATTAGGTGGTCCATGCCCATATAGACCGATCCTTCCTAAAGAAACCCAAATTTGATGTGCAAGTATCATGGCACGCATGGTCACAAGATCGAGGATTGCAGGTGACTTAGGGAGAAGGTAGCCCGTCTATTCAATGAGGGCCACCTTCAAGAGTTCCTCAGCTGTAAGGCCCCGAAAAAAATTTCGCTTAGTAATTTAGGACTTCGTGGTGCCAGGTAGACTAATTATAATATTTTATGTTCTATTAACATGGGGTCCAAGGAAAGGCCTAAGTCTAAGTCAAATTGGAAAATTTCATAATAGGCTAAAATTCCAAATGAGTTTGCACAAGTCCATACTTTGAATAAGGATATCTAAATATGTATAAGGTTTTATATGATGAACAACCTATCATATGAAAGGCCTTCGAGTCTAATTTCCAACGCTTCAAACCGTTCGTCATTTGGACATTCCTACACAATGTTATGATCAAATTACCAAAGACTAGAAAAATGCATCCTGTGTCGAATCTGCGATAGCAAATATGTCGCATTTTTGACTCTGCGATTAGATCTGTCGCAGATTGGGCCAATGTTGCCCAGTTTTGGGTACCTATTTCGCGATGCATTCTGCGGCCCATATTCTTGTTTTGCGGTCCATTCTGCGATCGCTGACCCTGTTTCGGAGGTTTATTTTTCCTATTTTTATAACCCGATGCCATTTTCATAAATAGGTTAAGGGGCTTCATTTGGGGTCATTTTTTACTAATTTTAGAGAGAGATGAGAGCATATAGAGAGAGAAAGGAGGGGCCTAGATTCATAATCATCCAAATCT